TATATATGTATGTATGTGTATATATATATATATATATATATATATATATATATATATATAATAAAGCTTATAAAAGCCCCAGGCACATGGAAAGGTCTCGAGATGTTAGCAAACATCCAAAGGGAAAATGGACTTTGTCACATTACACGGCTTTTTTTTTTTTTTTGCCAGTTTCATCAACATGGGATAACCATATACTTTTAAGTGTAATTAATTAGAAAATCGTTTCAGCCCGACTGTCCCCTGAATCTTTATCCCCTGTTGGAAAGAGCCTTCAGCTATTTTGCAGCCAAGTTTTCAGGCCCGATGGGTCAAAAGTGGGGAGGCAGAAAGCCTCCAGGGAGCGCGGTCTGTGGCGTTCCTTCCCACACAGAAGCAGGAACCAGCCGATACCCAGACACACCTTGGCGAGTAGTAATTTTGTTCCAGCTTAATTTAAACACCTACTGCTGAGGGCGCTCTGGAGCCACAATATGGAATCTGTCCTCTGTGTCACTCTTGAGCAGCTTCGCCACCTCTCTTACCTCTTCGTGGTTTTTCTTCAGGCACAGCAGGTCATCTTTCAGAGACTCCACGTGGGCCTCCAGGTCAGCTTTGCACGTGGTCAGCTCTTCCAGGATCCCGCGCAGACCGCTGATGTCGGCCTCCACCAGCTGGCGGAGAGACAGTTCAGACTCGTACCTTTCACCGCAAAAGAGACAGAGCCGGGCTTATTTGGCTGGGCGCGGCGACCGAGCAGGGGCATCCCGGGGTTGCAGGGCTCACGGCGGCCATGCTCCCGGTCGCCTTTTGCATCACCACTAGGACAACCTTGAGCCTAGCCAGTGTGCTGGGCTAGCAAAAACATTCTATATTTTCGGGATAAAGATGAACTGGGCAGACGCACTAAACAGAACAAAAGGCAACTGGAAGAAGGCAGTTGGTCGCAGCCTGGAAGGGAGGGGAGGGTGGGCAGACCTGGTGAAAGGAGCCCACTATAGGGTGAGGGATAGAACTGCACTTTCCGTGGGGAATTCAGCCCAGGCACACACGTGTTGCCTCTTAGGAATGCACACGTGAAACAGGGTGCTATGTTGCCATTTTAGCAAAACATAGTGAAATTTTACCGTTTTCTAGAGATTATTTCTGATGGGGTGTGTGTGTGTTGGGGGGACAGGAATTATTGTCAGTTTCAAATCTACTTACCTTGACTGAAAGTCATCAGCAGCCAGTTTGCAGTTGTCCAGCTGTACGGCAAGTCTACAATTTTCTGCCTTTGTGCACAGGATCTGGGAAAGAAGTTGTTAAGTAATAAGTGGCCATTATTTATCTTTTAAGAGTCTCTGTAAGAAAGTCTACTTTTCTCGTTAGCCATGTCACTTCATGAAGAAAAAGCAATGCCAACTTATTCCCCAAACAAAATAGAAAGAGAAAGAGGCCCTAAGGGCCTTTTGACATTCTAAGCACTTAAGACATTTTGCAGTTTGGCTTGGGAGTTGAAAGCAGCTAAATTTCTGCCATAATGGTTGGCACTGGGATTACATGAAGCCCATGAAATAAAAATGTGTCAATAAGAAAAGGAAAGAGGCATTAGGTGAAATGATCTGATTACAAAGATGACATTTCAATATTGATGCAAAAGTCATATCAAGGTGCCATTGCACTGGACGGAACATGGTTTTGCCTCATTTTCTACATAACCCAAGGCAGCGTGGGGGACAGAGCTGCTGAGTCCTGACTTCCCGCACAGCGCCCTGCCCTCTGCTCCGCTTCCCTCTTGGGAGTCCTTTTTCTCACATGTCCCTGCACAGAACAGCCTCTTCTAATATAAAGATAATGCAAATCCCAGATGGGTAAGGTGGAGCATGAGGGCCCGGGGAGCCCAGACCTTTTGTTGGAGATCTTCAATGGTGTCGAAGAAGTGCTGATAGTCAGGGCACACCATTGGGATATCGTCCTCACATTGCTCTCGGATCCTGCACTCCAGCTCTGCGTTCATCTCCTCCAGGGCACGCACCTTCTCCAGATAGTTAGCAAGTCTGTCATTCAGGAACTGCATCGTCTCCTTCTCGTTGCTGTTGAACACCCCGTCCTCGCACCAAGCACAGGTCCCCACCACACACGGAATATTACAGCTCCCGGCAAAGTAGCAAGGTGCCAGGTAACCGCTTGTCAAGCAAGACCTGGGGAGGAAGTTAGGGGTCTGGCATCTAGGGTTTGCACAGGCGCTGGGGAGGCACGTGGTTTCCACACAACAGGTTGAAGCAGAAGTGCAATCAGGAGCCCCGATGCAGGCATCGGAGCAGCAGCACATGGCGGGGCAGTCGGAGGTCATCCTAGTCAAAGCGAAGAACAAAGGGCAGCTGCAAAGCACTAGCTGTCTGACTCCAAAAGTCTGCTGTGGTCCTGAGACTTTTATATAGCCCCACAAATGGGTATTTACAGAATGCACCGGATGTTTTCTTTATCATTGTCCTGCCAGTTTCCATGTAAACATTTCATTAGTGTTGTTTATTTGTTGAGGAGGAGTTACAGGCCTCATAAATGAGACCTAAGTTCAGGTTACTAACAGGGCACCATTTCCATGTGTCTGTAGGGTAAAACACAGGGGCCAGAAATTCTTCCCAGGAACAAACATTGTTCTTTTGACAGAATAAGGAAAGAAGGAGGGAATTTGGCTCACTAGTCATTATTCCTACAACCCATTGCAAATAAGAAAAAAAATAGTCCCAGAGATTTTGATTCTGTGCAAGGAAAATTATTGATGTCTCCTTTTAAATTAATATTGTTGCTCGTTAGCTACCATTTATTGTGCAACCACCATAAAAATGTCCTGTGTGATTAACTATTCTTTGCAGTGTTTTTGTGACCTTGCTGTGCTCATATGGTAGAGAAGTGAGGTATGTACTAGGTTTAAGTATGTGTGTGTTCATGCATGCCTTATCTGCATATATGCAAATTGAGAAGTCCCTTTACATAACTGAGATGCATATCCTCCAAGCCAACATTTAACCTGGTTATCAAGACCTGAGATTGTGATCTTTGATTTCCTGAAATCTGCCTTATTCACATTCCCCTCCTGTCATTTTTAGATGAGGAATATGGGTTTTCACCTGTATCTTCAATAAGAGTGAAATATAAATTCTAAGTTGCAATCTTTTGGTTACTGGGAAACTCTTGTTATCTTTCAGAGTAGGGGCATGAGAGCTACGGAAGGCTTTTCTTCTGAGATAGGAACCTGATTTCTTGTATGTTTGTATATGTGTTTACATGTATATATATGTTTACATGTATACAATGTATATATGCACTTTTGAAGACTATAGTTTCATGAAACGTAAAATACTGGAACTATTTTGTATTTAGGTTTCAGACCAGAAGTTCCACCGAGTGAAATCTCTGTTGAACTAGTGGGTAGACAGGGATTGAGCTGTCTTCTTTTTTCAGTCTTCACTTGAGTTACATCTTCATTAGGAAGCATAATATATTTCACTTATTTTGACTTTTATTATGGTATTTATTTTCATTTTCAAATGTATACAAAGCAAATTGCCTCCAGACTCTACAGGATCATTATAAGGGAAAACCCTGTTACTTTGAAAAACATAAACTTTTCTGACCAAGAATGAACTTGTTTTTCTATTTCTGAGCAATACATCTTAGGTGCTGATAATAGGAAGATGAGGGAAAACAAACAGAACAAAACACAACAAAAAACCCCAAACCAGATTTTGTGATTCGTTGAGCAGAGTTGGGACTGATTTTAGTGATTTTCTTTACATTTATACTGAAAGTTGACTTTCCAACCTTTCTGGAATTCTGGTTTCATATATGTCGGGCAACTTGATACTCAGTTGGATTATTTCAATTTCCTCAAACTTTTGTTTTTCTCTGTTCTAGTTCTGATAATTTTGATCTCTCAAGATTGCTTTGAGGTCTTCAATTCATTGATATCACCCTAATTGTCAGTGTCCAATCTATTATTTATTGAGTTCTTTATTTCAGATTGTACTCTTTAGTTCTAGAATTTTCATTTGCTTCTTTTATTTAATTAAAACAAATTAAGCATGTTCATTATTCATCTATTATATAAATGTGAAATTTTACTTTTCTGGTGAGATTCCTCACCCTGTCAAGTTTTCCCCTCTCATATCTTGTTCAATTTTCCCTTTAAATCTATGAAACAGAATATTAATTTAAAAATCCTTGTTTGCTAATTCTAATAGCCACATACCTATGGACTTATTTTTGTTGGCTGCTTTTCTCTTGACTAGGGATGACATTTTCCTGCTTCATCACATGTCTTGAGAATTTTAATTAGCTGGTGTTCATTATGGATGGTATACTTTAGGAAGTTTTGATTATGTTGCAGGGTTTTAAGTGATGAGTTTTGGCCTGACAGGAAGTTAAGTCACTGGAAGAGCCACCTGCTCTTCTTGGGCTGGGTTTAGACTTTTCTAAGGAAGGTATGATTTGGAAAAGATTTTATTTTTGTGTTGAAAAACTAAGGTGTAGGCCAGAGGTGTGTGAGTGTGGGGTGTGGTGAGAGGATTCACCAGAGACAGAGAGGGGAGCAGGCAGGCTGACTGAAATACACTGCTGAGGGGAGCAAAGAGTGAGAAAGGAGAGGTCTGCTGCACCGTGTGCTTCAGCTCTCTGTCTGGGCATTGAACTCATGCTTCAGTGACTAAGGATAACTTTTTAGCACTTGAGACTGAACCCCTAGGCCAGTAGGGAGGCCCCTGACTTGATGTGTTCTTTACTCAAGGTGTGCTACCCCCGACAGCCTGATGGAATTTCATCCTGTGTACATGCAACCCAATCCTTTGCACTTTCTTGCTAAAAATGTTTTTTTTTTAAAGATTTATTTATGTATGTAAGCAGAACTGGGGCAAGGCCAGAAGTGCAAGGGGATAAGAGGATTCCCCAAAGACAGCATGGGGAGCAGAACAAGCAGATCAATGAAGTACACTGCTGAGGGGAGCAGCGGGTGAGACAGGAGATGTCTGCCGCACCATGTGGGTCAGCTCCCTGGCTGGGGATGGAATATGCTGCAGTGGCTGCAGATAGCTTTGTAGTGCTATGCTTTAACCCGTTGTGCCACCAGGGAGGGCCCCACTAAAAATGTTTTTATAGATTTCTGCACCTTCCCTTCTACATCTTCTTCCTCTCTAGAACAACTGCCTAAACTTCACTTAGATATCTCCGCATCCCTCAGACTTGACATGCCTGGGCACACAGCCCTTCCCATTTTAAGACCTCCTCCTTCCCTGTCCTCAGGCTCAGTGGATCACATAAGTCTGTTCCCTCATCTGTCTTTGACACTTGCACTCACCTCATTGATTACCAACTCTAGCCAATTTCTGTCCTATTACTGTTGCATTGCAACGATCTCAGTTTTTGAGTTGTTCTCAGTTTTGTGGAGCCACAGCACCTTACTATTGGTACTGGTAGAACATGTACATATTTTTTTGAAATACCACATGCCTAGCATTTCATGAGCAGTTGATAATTGTGTGAAGGAATGATTGGGTTGTGTGTATGTATCTGGCAAATTTGCCAGCTCATTGCCAGCAGGGACAATAAATTGTGGGACACAAATAGTTACTTAGTAGATGTCCATTGGGTGAATAATGATATAACTATGGGTTTTTTTTTTTTGTATTAATATAATCAGGTCATCTGAATTAGGTGATATGTCAAATGTCACACTTGGTCTTCAGATCACGTTCAGTTTTCCCAGCCTACCTTAAATCCATTTATTAGATCACAAGTCTACATCCAGATAGGCATGTTGGACCCTCTTATATGCAAGACCAGTTAGGTTAAAATAACATGAACAAATACAGCAAGAATGCTTGTCTGTCTGCCATCATCTTCTGTTTTGCAGATTATCTTCATTTTCCTTAAAATGCCAAGATTGTGGTTTAAGAAATACATTTAATGAATTAACAGAAATAAATAAACGTAATTGTAGACACTTGTGCTATGCAGAGAGGTGAAATTTATTAGGAAGATCATGAAGAAACTCCTCAATTTCCAGAAAGACACCACCCAAGACTAGGAACACATTTCCCAAAGCATCCAAAGAAAGATACACCCTTTCGTATGAAGGAGTTGAAAACTTTGGGAAGCCACAGGCATCCATCCACCTGTCCAGACAGCACTGGGCTACTGATATCCCCTACGTGGTCATCAAGAGTCTCTTGCTGTCTTTTTCTTGTGGGTGGAAGGGTTGTCTGTGACAGTGCCATCTTGTTTCAGCTTTTGAGTGCGGGTCAGTTATGCCAGTACGGAGACAGGTGAACATTGAGGCTTCTAGGCTGACTCTTTCATTGTCAGGCAGCATCCGGGCGGCCACCTAGCAGCAGCAGCTGGGCGTGCAGGGGTCACCAGGGCAGGGCTGGACATAGGTGGTGAGGTTCAGGGTCTCCAGGCCTGGGGTGGGCTGGGAGGAGTTGAGCAGGAAGTAGCTGGGCACACAGGGCTGAGGAATGTGGCAGGGAGGGGGGGTGTTATCACAGCAGGTGGGCCCCAGCAGCCAGGTGTTGTGAGGGCAGGTGCTGGGCAGGCAGACGCCGCAGCGGCAGCACTTGTCGGAGGAGCAGATGGTGGTGGCCGGGCCGGTGGGGACACTGCAGCAGCAGCGGGGAGCACAGCAGCAAGACATGGCCCTGGGAGGCTGTGGTGTTTTATTTGTTAGATTCAAAGAAAGGGAAGGCTTCTGAGGCGTGAATGTCTCTCCCTGCTCCAGGACTCTTATATACCTTCCCTGGTGGGTGTTGGCCCAACCAGAAGGCTTCTTTCCTGGTTCTTGTTGATGTTAGTGGGCCTATTATCCTTTGATTGGTTTGACATTTAGATGCTTGTAAAGAGTCTTTAGTCTCCTAATTGCATTTTATTTGAGTTCTTTGCTAAATCTGAAGTGATTACTCTTGCTATTTGTCACTGGAACACAGGCTTTACGAGGTTTCACCAAAGGCTTTGCAATGATAATTCCAGTCCCAGCCCCAGCCCCGGGGAAGGTCGCAGTGTGGGGTCTTCCTCAGCGCTGCTCTGTTCTAGTGTTCCTGCTTCAACTGTATCAGTGCGTCTGAAGAAATGTTCTTAAGCTGGACTTAATTTTTGTAAGCTTCTTTGAGCTCTGGGACTTGAAAAGATGGAAATTACTTTGGGAAATATGAGCAGATTTTAGAAAGATACCTATTGTTAAGTTTCTCATGATAAAATATTATGCATTCATGTTAAAACTTTGAACAACATAGGAAAGCACAAAGCAAAAAACTCATCTTTATCATCAAAGAAATGATCTACTCATACCTGCATATATCTCTCTGGTCATTTTTGTATATATTTATCATTTTATTATGTTATTGGAGTCATAATATATCTACTATCCTATAACTTGCTTTTGTGCTTAAACACATGCTTTCAGTGTTATTTTTAATGTTGTGAAGCATGTCACATAACTGTTGTTCTAAGCTATTAAAACTTTTCATATTATTAATCATTTAGGTTATTGTCAATGTTTCTCTATGGTAACTGGCAACAGAGATACAGTGTGTATACAGATATTTATGTGAATTTATGATTGTTTTTAAAATAGAAATAATAATTGGATAGAATTATTGGACCAAATGTTAATCAGCAATATTTTATTGTCTGTGATATTCATTGCCATCCTGCCCTCCATTACTTTTAAAATTCTACTTATTATGCTAGTTTATTTTAATTCTATTTTTATAATTCTATTTTATGTATTCCCACTAGCTGTGTTTGAGAATTCCTGATTCCCCACACTTGGTATGTATTCAAAAGTGCTTTCCAATTTGGCGGGTGAAAGAAGACATTTCACTACTATTATATTTGTATTTATTTGATAGCCTACTAGAAAACCCTCTTTCCTATGTGCCTTGGTTGTTAGTCTTTCTATTGAACACACTGTGCATGTGCTTCTCAAGCCTGGTTCCCACATAGCATTCTGACTTCAGGCTGCATTTGAACTTGGGGAAGGGGTGCTCCCCGGGACCAACCTGGAGCTCACATTCAACCTTGACCGTTCATTCTTCAAGCCAAGGGAGCTCACTTGCTCTCCACCTCTTCCTTGAAGTTCACCTGTGTGCCATGCGTGGTCTATGGTGTGGGCCAGGTCACAAGGTTATTCTGCGGTTTTGAGGGGATTATGGCATCAAGAGGCCTGGGTAGGAGTCGGAGGCCCTTTGCTGCCTCCAGTGCTGCTGGTCGCCTTTCTTGTGTGGCAAGTGATCCCCATTTGGGGCCTCGTTTTTCTCCTCTGCAAAGTAAGGCAAATAACATCTACATTCTTCCACTCAGAGATTATTGTGAGACACACTTGGGACAAAATGTGTTAATGTCCACAAAAAAAAACATCAAGAGCGATGCAACTGTCACTTACTCTTGGTGAGTTGCAGGTCAAATACTAGGGAAAGGAGAGGGGACAGAGACCTTGAAGAAGAAAAAGCAGATAAGCCGGAGCAGCTGTATAGGGTGTAGCACAAAGTCATCTAAAAGTTCACACCCACAATTAGACAAAATGACTGTCAAATAAATTAATACATTTCAGATTTTTAAAAGTTTATATAGTTAAGCTTGGAAGAAAAAAGTTATGGTTATTCCCAGGTGTTCCTGGAATCCCTGACACTTACCTTTGAGTGAATAATTGTTGAATGTCTCATCCTATTACTTAGAACTGATTAATATTTTCTTTAGTATTAAAAAGCGAAGGAACACATAGTCTATGGTGGTGGGATATGGGTGAGTTGCCAGCGGGTTCACTATGGTGGTCATAAAAGAGGGGTGACCCCAATATTAACCTTAGTTCAAGATAAATAAATTAAAAAATTCCTGGTAGACATTTATTGAGCAATTGCCATGTGGCAGGCACTATGCTTTGTTATCCACATGAATGACACTGAACAAAATAAACATGATTTCTACTCCCTTGGGACGTTGAGTTTGGTGGAAGCTTTATCACACACAGTATGTTATTATAAACAATTATTATTATACATGATGAGAGAAAGGAAAGGAGACTGAGGTCTAAGGCAAAAAAAAAAAAAAAGCAGAAGGAAATTATTTTGACCTTTTAAGAAGCATAACCAAGGAGTTGCAGGCTCTAACAAGTAGAATTTCACGGCAGAAAGATGGTGGCCTCTTGAGTATCATGCATGACCCCTGTGAGTCTCCTTGATAAGGAGAAAGGAAACTTTACTGTTCTGTATAGAATATTATGCTCCCATTATCATAAATAAGAACCTTACAAATTAGAAAATACGTATAAAATAGTGAGTTGGCAATAAACTCACTTCTTTTATTGGAAAGACTTGCGGAACTTTATTAAAATGTATCTTCTCTGTGATGGTCTGAGAGACCTGCGAATTACTCTACTTTGTTTATAAATTAGGGTAGTGAGCCAGAGAGGTGAGATCATTTGCCTTAAATAGCCTGGGGACTGCTTGTGAACACATAAATATTGTGCCTATTGGGGTGAGCTCCCTTTTATGTGGTTGAAAATGTCAGTGTGAAGGGTGTGTCAAGGAACTAAACATTTTATCTGTGGAAACAAAGGAAACATAGTATTCTAGATTAAGTGGCAGATTTTCAAAGTGCAGAGCACACAAACACACACACTTGCCCAGTTTTAGTCGCCCTGTTCTTTGTTGAGGGTGCTCTGTGGCAGTGGAAACATAGAGATTGATAGTAAGATAAATACTTGGGAGCAAAGCAGGATTATGTCAGTCTCTTGCTTCAAACCCACCTGAGACTGTCCCCCCAGGAGCCCCACTTCATGGCCTTCGCCTTTCTCTCTCCCTGCTCATCCTCTCCCCAAATTTGCCACAGCCGGGAGCTAGCAAACTGTACGCGCCTGGCGCGTCCTCTCCTACGTCCTCTGCTGTGTCATCCTTTAACCTTAACTGGGTGGCTGAGAGGCTTCCCAGAACCGTCCCTGGTGTGAGACTAACTGACCAAATCCGGGTCACAGGTGCGCTTTCCTGGCTGGCTCACCGCTCACATCTGGGTCACAGCAGAAATCACCCCATGTTGTAACTACGCCCACACAAGGTATATAAAACACAGGGATTGGGGTTGGTAATTGCTTATGTGTATTGTTCACCAGATTTGAGAGAAACTTGCAGACACTTTAGGTAATTATATTTCTTTTTTCTACTCCGCGCACCAAAGTGCCTGGCCCAGGGTGGTGTCTGTGGCAGGTGAATGAGTGGAGGGCTTAACCCTTGCTGATGGCCTCATGGGTTGTGGCCCCTCAGTTCTATGCTTCTTAGTTCTGTTCATTCAAAGTTGAGCTAGTGATAAGCCTGCGGGGTCTTTCACAGTGACAGGCACACTGAGGACGTATAAAAACATGTTTATTTAAAGATGTTTACTTCTCCTTCCTCACCCCACTGCTTACTTTTTCATATACATTCTCTTGTCTCAATGAACTTTTAGATTTTTGACTTGTGTGTTTACATATGGTATCTATATCTTACCTTATACCTGGGTATTACATATATACACACAATCTCTCTAAGGTTAGGAGAAGGGAAATGTGCTCAAGATAAAGTTAAGTGTTTGGTAAAGTCAAATAAAATTGAATAGTAGATTAAACATTAAATTTGTATTTAATCAGGTTTTCAGCTGTAGCTCCCAACTTGTCGATTCTATTGATTATTGGGGTAGAGCATCTGTGTAGAGAATTAGCTGCAGGTAGGAATGTGTCCTTTTGGACCTATTACTAGAACTTACTAATTCTAGTCTTACTGAGGCAAAGTGAAGTCAAAATAGGTAGGCCCACTAAAGGGCCCATTAGAACTGGATAACTGCCACTATTTTTAAAAAGATTTCTTTTTATTTATTTCTGCATATAAAAACTGGGGTGTAGACCAGAGGTACAGGGACTGAGAGGATTCACCAGAGGCAGAGTGGAGCAGAACAGGTGGGTCTACTGAAATACACTGCTGAGGGGAGCAGCAGATGAGACAAGAGAGGTCTGCTGGGACATGGAGGTCAGCTCCCTGGCCATTCATGCTGTAGTGGCTACAGAGAGCTTCATAGTGCTGACTTTAAACCCTGTGCCACCAGGGAGGGCCCACAGCCACTCTGAAGTCATAGCCAACATGCCATTTTTTCTATTACTCTTGGATGTGCTGATTTGGTTACAGGCTCTTTGCTTTCTATTTCTTTGCATTTTTTTAAGCTGATGCCATTCTGTGTGCAGTAAGCTTCTGGTTCCATTAGCAGAGGAGTTTCGGTGATGCGGTTGGTTAACACTGTGTGTGACTTAGGGTAGAGGTTCACACCTTTTCAGATGTACATCACCACACCGCACCCACCACCAAAGCATCCTTGACACCCCCACCGTGGTCCATGGGGCCCCAACTCACCCTCCACTCCTGGTAGCCTCAATGCTAGAGTCACAGTGTGGGTTGAAGTGGAAGGGAAGATGCGAAGCATAATAAGTCACAGGAGAAAGGCAGGTACCCCATGATTTCTCCCTTGCGTGCAGTAGAGAGAAGCAAAACAGAGGAAGAAACAGAACTAAGGCAAAATAAACCCAAGAACTGGGTTTTGAAGGCAGGCAAACAACATCGAATTCTAGTTTCATGACTGGAAAATGTTGGAGAACTCTTGAGGCTTCATCTTTTTCATCATTTCATGCTGATCAATTGAATTAATACATGTGGCTCACCTAATGCATGCTCTGTCTTTAGATTCTAGATTCACCTAGTACTGTGAAGGTAGCAAAGGTTGTCTCACCCTTGTGAGGAAGAGGACCAAGGAGGTGCCGATCTTAAAGGATAAACAGCTAAAAGATACCATTGGCAGGTTCTTGCCACTTCTCCAACAGATTCCCTTTGAAAAATCAAGCAATCATCTTATGTTTACTTTCTTTAGAGTAAGAAACAATGAAAGAACCAAAAAGCTCTAACATAAACAAAAACACATGTAGCCAGAGAAATAATTTATTGGAAAACACATCAAGAGGTTATTTTGCCTTGAGGAATACATCTAATCCAAGAAACAACACAGCCAAGATGTAGTAAGAGGCCTTAAGGATTTCAGAGTTTCTTGATATTAGATGTTGTCCACCAGCCCTGCAAACCAAAGCATCATTCATCCGAATAACATAAACAAATTCTTGATGCTCTTTCCATGAAAGCAAATGGTAGATTTTCTCTCTGGGTCACCCAGTCGGCCTCCAGGTGGAGGCCACGACAACAGAACAGATGCTTCTTCTGGCTTCTTCATTGTCAGGCAGCATCCGGGCGGCCACCTAGCAGCAGCAGCTGGGCGTGCAGGGGTCACCAGGGCAGGGCTGGACATAGGTGGTGAGGTTCAGGGTCTCCAGGCCTGGGGTGGGCTGGGAGGAGTTGAGCAGGAAGTAGCTGGGCACACAGGGCTGAGGAATGTGGCAGGGAGGGGGGGTGTTATCACAGCAGGTGGGCCCCAGCAGCCAGGTGGTGTGAGGGCAGGTGCTGGGCAGGCAGACGCCGCAGCGGCAGCACTTGTCGGAGGAGCAGATGGTGGTGGCCGGGCCGGTGGGGACACTGCAGCAGCAGCGGGGAGCACAGCAGCAAGACATGGCCCTGGGGAGCTATTGGTTTTTCGGTTTCTTGGGGAGAAAGATGAGGCTCTAGAGATGCAAATGCCTCCTCTTATTCCATGGCTCTTATATACTCACCCCAGTGCTGTTGGGCCAACCAGGAGCCTCCCTATGCTGATGTCTGTTTATGATGCTCTTTCACTCAGATTCACTAATCTGTTTGGTATTTTCCTGTCCACTAAGAGCTCCTGCCCTGATTAGAGCCATCATCTATTGACTCATGTCTGCCATTTTGGTCATAAGATGGGCATATTTTGTCTTTACAGGGACCTGGCATGCCAGGCCTCACTATGGATCATCAATTCAAGGGACAATTCTGCTGTAATTTCAGAGGCTAAATTCTTCTCCGGTTTTCCCCTCAATTTTAAATGCTATGCATAACATGATGTCATTTGGAACTACTAATTTTAGAACATGCCACTCAAATGATTAATTGGATCACTTTGTTCACAATAAAGTCAACAAGGACATAGTTACTCAAAGATGAAGGTCACATCTAACTATATGTGTTTCAGACCTATTTGTCTTATTTACTGGTGTTGCTGTTCACATTTTATTTAGCAAAGCAAGGTGACAGAGTGGAATAAGATGAAACATTATTCATTATTCATCGTTGATGGATCTATTTGTCAATTTCTAAAGGTTTTATTATTCTATGGGTTCTCTTTTACAGTAAGTTCTCTTTTTTCCAAAGTCATGCCAATCTTGCCTGATTCTGATACATTAGAAGGGAAGATCCACTGGGTTGCTATCTTTTGCTAATTTGCCTTTAAAAGGTCACCTTAGGGCCCTCCCTGGTGGTGCAATGGGTTAGAGCACAGAACTGCAAGCTGCTTCAGTGCGAGTTCGATCCCTGGGCCGGGAGGTGACCCACATGGCGCGGCAGACCTTTCCAGACCCGCCCGCTGCTCCCCTCAGCAGTGTACTTCATCAGTTTGCCTGTTCTGCTCCCCACTCTGTCTCTGGTGAATCGTCTTACTGCCCCTATACCTCTGGCCTACACCCCAGTTCTGTGTGGATAAATAAAAGAAAAAAATCTTAAAAAAAAGGTCACCTTATCTTCATTCATTTTCATATGAGTAATTTTCTCCCTTTCAAATGGTGCAAGTTAGGAACTAAAAGGAGCAACTAGGATTTACAAATAACAGTGGGTTGGGGCAGGGTCTGGTCAGATTTAGTGATTTTGAACTACGGCAGTGAGAGAAGTCATTTTTCTTCACTGACTTGCTCCTTGCCTGTTTGTTTTCATACACTGGTTCTTGAATGGGGTTGTAAATTCCTTTGTGGAATGCCTTCTGCAGAATTCTCCACCTCTCTTGCCTTTGATTTAGCTTTCTGTAGGTTGGCAATGAGGACGTTGGACTGGATGATCTTTACTGTGCCATAGTCTATGACTCCAACACCTTCACATGATCAGCACAAAACCAATCAGAGAGTAGAATCTAAACTACATATTTTGTTGGGTGGCAAATGTTTGATGAAAAACTCAAGGGCACCTTGATGGGTTGTTTCTGAGGGGATATTACCAAAACCAACGCAGCCTGTTTAAAAGAGAAGATAGTTGGTCAGTGGAAAACACTTAGAGCCACCGGCAAGTAAGTCTCATGTGGTTAATGAGAAGAAGAACTTGTTAGTGAAGTCACTTTGGATTTTGCTTACATATTGATGTTTATCATAGCACACATCAAATAAAACAGAGCTTAGAGTTTCCATGTACTTTACACCCATGTGACTGTGATCTTATTGTTTGTTAAAAATCTTTGCCCTGTTCTTTATTTCTTAAGTCCTACTTGACCCTCAATTATCAGTTCGAATATCTCTCTCCTCAAGAAACTTTATCTGGTTCTTCTAGATGCTTTATTATTTTCCCGACCCTCACCAAGTACTGTCTGTCTTTCACTTAGACCTCATTTTATTCTGCTACATATTATAGTTTATAATTTATGTTTATCTTTCCTATTCCAATGCAAGTTCTTTGAAAGTGGGAATCACATCTTACTCTTTGTCTCTGGCAAGCGCCTAGGACATGCCTGACATATGGGAAGCATCTGATATGTGCTTACTGAATTGGAATTAAATGAAAGAGCAAATGAAAAAGGCATATTTCATTTTTAGAATAGCCCAACATAATACTATTTATGAGCAGACTGATTACATTTCTTTTGTGAAATGGTTAAGCTGCTGCATTTGGGGTTCTTGACTCTCTCTGAGAAAGTTCAGCAGAATGTCCATTCAGTGGCACACTGCAGGTATTTTAAAAAGATGTTTATGCAGACACAAATGGGCAGTTCTTGCCCAAGCACAGGTTGTCCTTAAATAATGTCCTTTGGTGGGATTTATTACTTTGTGGAGTTTTATCACTTTCTGAAATTTATCACTTTGGGGTCAGCTTGGGCTGGTTTTCTTGTATGGATTCACTCTTCTCCCAACTCTAATTCCTGGTCTCAATAAATTTTCAACTCTAAGCTTCCATTCCCTGACCACATCCAGCCTGCAGTCACTGAAGAAGGGAGGCTGGTCTTCTGGAGCTGCTGCAGCTTGGGTGAGGTGCAGAGCTGTCTCCACCTCGGCACCTGGCTGCTCTAGCATGGCCCCTGAGCTGGCTGGTCATTGAGCATACCTGCTGGCTCTAAGGGAGGTGCCGGCAGAGTCCAAGGGAAGGGGGTTGTGCTTGGGCTCTTACCCTCTTGGAAGAGTACTCAGAGTTGAAATTATCTCTAAATGAGAGGAGGCAAATTTAACAATGAGATTGAGTACGCAAGCCCAAGGAGGAGAGAGAGGAGGCCCAGGAAAAGGCCATGCACAGGCGTGAATGGGGGGCATTGCAGTCCCCCAGCCCCACACTCCTCAGGGAGAGACTTTTCTCTAAATCTGGTGGCTTGTTTTTGAAGTTTTCTTGTGTTGGAACTGATCTGTTCACACTGGTTAGCATAATAACAACTTTCTTCCTCTAGATAAAAGCAACAGCAAGTGGGTAGTTATTGGTAGAATTTTTCAAGGGCTTTTTAGTGAGAAGGGGAAAGGAATAGGCAGAAATAAAAGGAAGGTAGAAGAATTGGTGTGGCGATCCAGTGTAGGGTCACTTATTTTCAGGGCGACCATCCCTTGGCCTGTGGTCACTTGTCATCTTTCATGTCTTTGGAAGAGGTATTTTAGCAGCAAAAGTTGATCATAGCATCCCTGTTTGTTAAGTAGGATGGGGGGAGTGTTTTTATTCTTGCAGCAAAATATTTTACAGCCATGAAAAGTCTATTCAGGTTTGCATTCAAGCCTTCCCTTAATCAGACAATGAAAAAAAATGTGGCTCAGTATAATGTTTGCAGTCTATTCTGTGTCTAAGTTGATCTCTGATTGCCTGCCTTTTCAACTTCTTTAAGGACATACATGAGTGACAAAATAAAATTAAAAGTAGGTACTGACCTTGGAATGGAAGATGATTCAAAGCCTAGAGCTCAGTATATTTTATTATCCAGGCAATTTTCTTCAGATAGTACATCTCCCTGTGAGATCTCCTTTTGGGCATGAGCTTTATGCCTCGGTCACCAGAAAGTGTAATCCTGCTGGACATATTTATGGGTTCATGATGCAGGCGTGTGCCGGGAGTCAGCGGGTAATTAGAGCATGAAGCATCCAGACAGTAGGTGGTTTGGGAAGCAGTGGTGTTTATTTAAAATCAGAAGGGCGACGACGATAGCATGACTTCCACTTCTCATTTGACATCGTTGTTCAAAATGTAGAACACGTCTGCCACACTGGAGACCTAGGGTCAGAACATTTTCTCGAGAAGCTTCGAATTGAAATATCACCTTAGCAGGTATCACCATTGCTGCCCCCAGGCCGAGGTGGGCAAATGCTCCAAAACATCTTTGCTAGCAGCAAGGGGCCTCGCAGGGCAGGGTGGAGGTGGTGACAGAGACCCCGCTCAGGTTCGGGGCTGGGTGGCAGTTGTCAAGCAGCCAGTAATGCCATGTCGATGTCGGGCTTGCAGCAGGTTGTCACAGCAGGAGGGTTGGAGGAGGCTGATCTCGTGAAGGCAGGTGCTGGGCAGGCAGACCTCGCACGGGGGGCGTACTTCTGAGGAGTAGAGGGTGGTGGCTGGTCCAGTGGGAACGCTGCTGCTTCCGTGGAGACAAAACACACAGCAAGACATGGTGACAGTGGTTCAGGTAGATGGGTGTCGCAAGGGAAGGTTAGCTTACAATGTTGTCCTCTGTGGCTCTTTTATAGCCACCTGCTTTGGGGATGAGGCTTCTGTGCATCTGAATGTTTCCTGTTGTTGTTTGTTTAATCCCATAACACATAAATAAACCACCGAGTTCTTATTTACCCGCCACGGCCAAGCTCCCTTCAGGTTTATCTGGCTGTGTTACTGGCTTCCTGTTGCAGTTTCCAGAGGGTGCCAGGTTAAGTCCTTCACTTGCTCAGTCACAGGTAAACCCATCAGGAAATCCCCAGACTTCCCTCTCTTTTCCCGACCAGAATATATTCTCGCAAGTGATTACTGCTGAGTGCAAGTCTCAAGCGAGATGTCCCTGTGAAGCAGGACATGATCTTCTGAGGTTGTGTGCCCAGGATGCATGTGGAAAGTCAACACCTGTGTGACTTTTCTCTATCAGATCCACCCTGTGCTATCTTGATAGATTTTGGGAAAATAACCGAGTGTTGAAATAGGCGAAACAACCTTGGCGGGGACTCGGCTTCTAGAGGATTTCCTAAGCTGACCTACCACATTATCTGTATGTGCCGTTAGGTGTGAACGTAGCTGGGTTGCGCTCTGCAAAGGACACTGGTTATATTACACCAGTCAGAACAGACTGATGCATATTTTCATGGGTCTGTCCATGGGCTGAAAAGGAAGCTTGTGTCCATCTGTGAACCAGCATGAAAAATCCTTTCGTTGTAGAAAAGCACCACACTGCCCACTGGACTATGCCATTTTCCAAACAACCGCTGAAGCGGGTGATCCCCTCCACTCAGAC